AACACAGAAATATTAATTAGAAATGGAAGCCCCACTTTTTGTTAGGAAAGAAAGGGTAGTATTTGGCAAACCTGAATTTGAGTGCTGCAGAGATCAGTGCCTCCCTGCCTCCACCACTGCTCACACACCCCACTCACCTGCACTTCTGCTTCACAGATCAAAGAAACAGCATCATACAGATTGCTTACAACTGGCTATTATTCAACTGCATTTTATTTATTTTGCCTGATCAATGCACTCAGAGCATTTAAGAACTGTTTCTGACAACAAACACAAAGGGAAACTTGGTCTAGCCCATACAAAGACAAGTGCTGCTATACATCTACATACACACACTTCCATTTTCATGGGAATTTTGCCTAAAGATGTGCTGGGATCATAAACCATACCCTATTCTTTGTATAATTACTTAAGCTTTTGCTCTTGACTTGGCAAAACATGAAGCTTTTCATTTTAGTATATCTATAATTAACTCCAACATGTGCTGAGTAAACATAACCTCATTTTTAATTAAATCTTTGAGCAAGATGCTACAACTTGCCATTTCTAAAGAGAAGTATTTGTCAAGCAGTGTGCAACGTAAGTCCAATCCTTGTCAAACAAAACATTCATCTGAGCATAACCCACCTTCTTTCCAGTCATCTGTTGTCCAAACATGCATTCACTAACTACAAAACCAAAATGAAAAATCACCACATCAAAACTTTAAGGATAAAGTAAAATCAAGTCTATACGATAACATAACAGTCCTGAAGCTAAAGGTGTCTCAGTTTTCCCACCTGAAGAATCATTTCTCCAGTACAGCCCATAGATTTTTTTTTGCAAGTACAGTATATATAGTAATTCTTATAGAGAAAGAAAAATCTAGTTTCTCAAGCATGAAAGCAGTTGACACACCATATACATTATGAACATAAGAGAAAAGAACTTTCAGAAAGTTTCTAAGCAATCATTTTTAAGAAGGGCCAGAAGATTTACTTCAACACGTTCAAATAGACCTAACTAAAATCCTACATTAAAATGATGCATCAACTCCCGGAGTAAAGAGAAATTTCTTGAAATAGAGTTACTGTAATAATACAATCCATCTTTCACTTATGCTACAACTATGATTTTTCAAAAAATATTCCCAGTAGTGTATCTAAATGGTCCTCGAGAATTTGAAGGATTTAAGTGGTACAGTTAAAGAGCAGAAAGTGCGATGGTCGTTCAAGAATTAGGCTTTCCAGCGTCAACTAAAAGAGCCAATATGTTGTACAGGACAAAAGACACAAGGTCTGCCATTTGCAAAACAAAATTAATGCTGAACACTTCAATGAAAAAAGCACTCAGGAGAACTCTTGTAAGTATTAAAATCCTTACCATGTTCATTTCTTTAGACTTAGTTGCAGCTCTTTTAAGCAGCTCTTGTCTCAAAGAGGGTCTTTCAGTTAATGTTTTTTATTACCACGACTTAGATACTCTGACTCTACCTTAGACAAGAGCAGGTCCATTTATTAACCTTAACAAAGAATGAACCAAAACATGACTGCAACAGAATCTCACAAAGCATTTTCTTCTAGCTATTTCATGTTCCATTTCAGTGCGCTTATTCTAGACAATTTTTCCATTTGCTTCTCACCAAATTCAGCTTAGTCACCTTTCAAAGCTGTCAAGATACATGATGCAAGTCAGACTGTTTAATTGCATCCAACCACCAAAAACAATGTGCTCAGAGGCCAAAGTGCATGAAGTTATCAACAGGTGACGCTGACTTCACAGTGTTTGCTAAGCACAAAGGTAGGATTATTATTTACACTACAAGAACGCTACAGCACGCAAAGCGTTTTCTAATCTCCAAGAAACATAACATCCATGCTTCAACTACGGGCCTTTTTCCCTTCATCAGTCCGGACTAATTTCTTTAGGAAACTACACCTTTCACACAGCCTGCACATTTTTTCATCATCCTCCCTCACATCTTCTCAAGACAACTTCTCAAACCTACTCAGACATGACTAAACCTGAAACAGAAGAGAGGCCTTCCAGTTACTCCATTCTCACCAACTTTATGTGAACAAATACGTAAACACTAAAACCTCTCTGCCCATCACACTGAAGGTAAACAGCAGCACATGCTCAGTCTTTAGAGTCTGAAAAACATTTACAGTCATACTGAAAACAAACATCTTTATAAGGCTTCATTTCACGCACTGATTCAAATGTTTAAAAATAAAAGCTATGCTGAATTTCTGAAAGGCAACACTAAAATACTAACGAGTGTTAATAGCACAACTGTGGAACAATCTCATCAAAAACAGATAATTAAACACCACATGCTATTCATTTTTTCTTTCAATTCTTAATCACAACTGAAGAAGATAAAACAGAGTCATTCTTAACAATATAAAGTCCGACAGAAAAGCATCATTAACTATATGAATATGAGAAACTGTTTGCCATCCAAATGTTTGCAGTCATAATAGTAAGATTTATTAGTACCCTCAGTAAGTTGCTACAAATACCCATGTAGTTTCAACAAAATCTGGGAGTGCTTAGAGCACCAGACACCAGGAAGGGAAAGAGAAGAGGAATGACAGGTTAACAACTCTGAAGTAAGCTTGTTATGTAGTGACATCATTATACTGCAGGTTGGTTACACAAGGTGAATAGTAATCAACCTTTCTTAACTGGGTCCCTGCTGTGATAAACAGTTCTCTGCCATTTGTGTGATAACTGCGCAGGACAAAGTTTGAGGTAAAATGATAACCACCAGTTTTGAGAAGTTGCTTCTGCAAATGACCACCACCCGTACCTGAGATTTTTTTCTTTAAAGCAGCTTTCTACATTCAGCACAAGCTGCATTTGTAGAAGCTAAACTCTGTCTTAAATGGTAACTTCTTTTACAAAGTAAGAGAAATAAAGGTTTGTCCTTCCCTAACAAGATGTTGCAATGCAGTATCTGCTCTAAAGAAAGCAGTTAACAACAACCCAGTATAATAACATTCTGCAGTGAAATCATACCTCACCCTAGCTTTGTTTTATTAATTTTGCTTGTTTTCCTGAGAGAATGCTATTTAATACTCTTGTATGAAAATTCATACTACCAATGTAAGTGAGAATAAAACAACTTAAGAAAACCTACTACTTTGCTCTGTTTTGTCAACTGTTCAAAATTAATGGTATTTCCAAATTTAAGTACAAGTAATCTTTAAAATTTTCACTGTTGGACAATGCAAACCTAAGGAAACAAGTACTCTTCAGGAAATGTTACATTTAGAAACACTCAGTGCAGTAGATTAGCTGGGCACATTCTCAAGTGTAAGTGAAAGATAAATCTTGCTGGGACTGGTAACACTCCTGCTGCGTGACATCCAGCCATGATGACACTGACACCATCTGAACAGAGAGGATTAGAAACGACAGCAATAATCACATACGCATACACTGACGGTACTCCATCACAGAAACAAAGAACAGACGTCAATGGGTTCCCCAATATAAAATTAGCAACAGTAGTATTGTTTCTAAACATGCAAAATTTTCATACGTTTAAAGTGAAAAATCACTTTTTTCTGATGATGTTCAGTACGAAATTCGGTAAACTTCAGAGCAAATTAAACGAAGCTTTTACACGCCGCTGATACCACCTCCAAATGTGGTAGACTTGAAATCAGCTCCTCAGTAATGTAAATTATCCTTTTGAAAGTAGTCTTTTCTTGGAACCTTTTTAAGTTAATGTGTGAAGTTTTGAAGCAAATGTGCCACTTTTTCTTTGAACAAGTCTTTCTTTCATGGTACAGCACCATAAGGTAAATTATCTTTGAGGAACATAAAGCGCATTCAAAAACTCTCCTTTCTCTTGAATGTAGGACATCTTAAAATTGATGGAAATTTTACTGGCCTTAGGTCATAATGTTTAACAGGTTTATCTAATTTCATTCCAGAGCATTTACAAAGCCAATTTATTTTGCCTTTCTAATCATAATCATTCTTTGACTGGTTCTACAAAGCTTAGTATGCCTAGAAAAGTACAAGGAGAGGACTACCTAGATTTCTGCAACCAAGACTTCAAAGAAATTGCAGTATATCTCTTGCAAATAAGCCACATGAACTTAACACATGAAAGTCACACTGAAAATTTAGTTCAAGTTAGAGCCAAAAGCTAATCCTATTAGATTAAGTTACACCAGTTTGGCTTTTTTGTTGTTGTTGTTTTGTTTTGGGTTTTTTTGTTTTTTTTAAATGCTGGCCTTACATTTTATCTTCTCTGCAGATCAGAAAAGGCAAACACCCCAGAGCAAGAAGAAAAAGTAAAACAGTGAAAAAAATTCAAAAGTTACGATCATCTGATCTGGACAGATAGATTAAAGATGGAAGAAGGGAAATCAGTTACTTTTGCTTATCAAAGTACTTAGAAAGCAAAAAAAAAAAAAAAAAAAAAAAAAAAATTCAAAATTTGCCTATGGCCAACTTTTTCTGACTCTGTGTCACATTTACTTGGAATACATTTTGCTTTTTTGTTATAAGCCAGTAAGAGCAGCATTTGTTATCTACTGTCATGCTGAGGTAGAACTGCCATAGGCAAAGCTACTGGACACGCGTCTTTTCTGAAAAAGCATGAGGCTGTTTGGCTAAAAGATAGAAGGAGGACTGGAATACTTTATACTCAGTTAAATCCAAATAAACATTTTATCATAATGACGTTTGTCATTAGCATTTTGTGTCTTCTTGAGTAACTTCCAGACTTTCTTGTTACAATGGCAACAGCTGTTACATAAGCACTTTATTTTCCTCTTCAGAAATATTTTTCATTATTTTCCTCCACATCAGTACTGCACAGCCTGCTATTCTTTAAGTGCATTCGGCACAGTACCGCGCAGTGGTACCGCCCACCTCATCTTCACCTTCAAGCTGTGCCATGCTCCATCTCTAAGACCTAAGTAAACCTAGAACAAATCACTGTGCCAAAGAAGATCAAATGGATTTTGCCACTGTTTTAAGACTTCGTTTGTACTTACCTGCAGGTAAATATTTCAGCTGGTTGTTAGCCAAACGAAGATGACGCAAAGATCTCAGGCGACCGATCTCTGGACACACAATTTCAAGGGCATTATCACTTAGGTCCAGAAACTGCAGTTTAACGAGGGAGCCAATGGCTTGCGAGAGAACAGATTAAAACATGAATGTGACCCAACAGTAACATTAAAATCTTAATAGGACTACGAGGGGATAAAAAGCCACAGTACCTTACACCTAAGCAGCAGCAGATTTTGATGCATTAAAGTCGGTCTGAGAACTGAATGACACAGTTGATGAAAATGGTCATCTAAAAAACTTTATTGCTGGCAGTGAGGTTGGGAGGAAAACCTCACTTTTTTTTCCACTTTTATTCCTTTGCATCTATCCAATCTATATGTACCAACAGAGCTTAAAGTACTGCACTGAAGTTGGACACAGAAATCTAAATTTAATGCACAGGAGACAAATACAATACAAGTTCTTGATATTTTAAGTTTCAAAAGCGCCATGACATAAACCAGCAGAGTGTTCTGGGTAGTAAGCAGCTCAGAGCAGAAGACGCTCTGGATTTTTGTTTCTGTAGATGAGTGCCACTTAGCCATTCCAGTCTCTTCAATTAGAATTGAAGCAACCAGCATTCAGATGCATTTGAGAGTTCATTAGAAGAATTTAATATAACATAAACAAGGATATTATCAACTAAAAGCTATAGTGGTATGTTTTGTATCAAAGTCTTTAATGTTTTATGGGGAAATAAAGAAAAAGATAGGCCTCTTCAGAGAAGAAAAATGAATATTTTATGATTCCTGCCACTTATGCGAGCTGGTAGATTACTTACCTTCAGGTACAACAACTATGTTATTTGAATGAAGGTACCTGGGGGGAGGAGAAAAAAAAAGCAGAGGACACCACCTGTTACCCTCAAGGACTTCTGCTACATAATCAGTTTGCAAAATATCCAATTTCAGATTGAAAGAGCACTCTCACAGCCATTCTTCTTTATGACCATAAAAGCTGTGGACACCACATATACTGGCAATAGACAGATACTTAAGTTTCACTTAAGACTAAAGATAAACTTAAAAATAAAACAGAATGACACATAATTATTTAAAATGGAACATTCACAGTTAAAATAATGGGCTTCAATTCTGAAGTCACAAGAAAAAAACATCAAGGAAAAAGAACGAAGCAGACAGCATAAGTAAAGCCAACCATACTTGACCATCAGGTTACCCCACACAGAATGCAAGAAAAGAAAAAACACCTGGCAGAAGCTATTCCAATTAGAAACATTTCCCTCTATACTTAAAAAAATAATCTTGCCTTACCTGACTGAATGAATGAAAATGATGCAGTCACCCTAATTGAGTTTTTCAGATCTAGAGTATATTTTTCCAAAAGAAAAAACAAAAAAAACCAACCAAACACAATGTTACCCATTGTCGCTTAGTTACTGAGGGAGAGCAGCTCTCCCACTAAAAATGTTCAGCACCCCCTGCTGGAACTTTTCCAGCACTGCCAGTCACTTCTCAACTACTGCAACATGCATTTCTCGTGTTTTAATTTTGATGCCTAAAATAACACGGCTGCAAATGAACAAATGGCTCTTGTAGAAAATAGCACTAATGAAATTTTCAAATACGGATAAATATCCAAAAGCAAAAGGATAGCCAATGTTTTTGTGAAAACCTTCTTTTGTAGCCTTGACACGAGAATTCTACTCATTTCACCTGCAGCTCCCAGAAATACTCAACTATTTCAATCAGTAAATTAGAAAAGGTACATGATAAGGATTTACAACAGGCCTCCCAGTATGACAAACACAATGTATATAAGTAGACAACAGTACAGTTCTTAAAAATGTACAGTGAAATTGCTACCAGTTTTCATTTTTATTAAAGTGAAATTTGTCTATAATAAACTAACAATTTTTTTTTTTTTTTAGAAAATATTGCGGACTCTTCTCTGACAGTGAACATCTCTTACTGTCTGATCAAACACTGGCTTCTGTTATTAAAGCTACACAAATCACAGGCTCACTGCAATTCCCTACAACGTAAAGAATAATGGTGGTACAGCTACGCTTGCTGAACCTCAAATAATTAGGTATCATTCTTACAATCGGTGCTTGTAAGATATTATTTTAAGTTATAATTTACAAAGCTCTTCCCTAAAGGCATCATCAAATAGCAGAGATCTCCTGATGCCCCATGGCAAATCATTAAACGCTAAATATATGAAATAGTATTTATTTTACTGCTCAGCAGCATAAACAAACTCTTAAGACTCCAGCATGATGAGACATGACTGTTACTTAAGCAATTTGGGGCTGCAGTGACATACAAAACAGTTCAATTATACGCTGGTCATGTGTACCAGAAAGGTGTGGCCTCAAGGACCAAATTAAGATGACAAGATCAGACAGCTGAACGCATTAGACTACTCACACCACCTCCTGTTTGGAGCTTTTCATTAAACAGAAGCACTGTTCTGTCAATTACCAAACTACAAATGAGAAAAATGAGTTACAGCAGGATGTGGGGATGTCCTTTTTATCCTCCATCCTCCAATTCCATTAAGCAAGGACAATACAGCCTTAACAACAACAAAAAGTAGGGAGCGAGGGAAACTGTTGGCTCAGGCTTCACAACCTCAATTTAATTGCCAAAAGAAAACAGCTCACATGGTGCCCCTTCTTTGGGCAAAACTGGGTAATCCATTCTGTCTCCAGCTGTTACTACTCATACTTGCACGTTCCTGCTGCTACTTGTCTTGACTTAAAAAAAAACAAAAAAACCAGCCATGGTGCACAAACCACCTTCTAGAATCAGTAAGACTGAAGACTTTATAACTCTCCTAGCTGGAGTGGCAATGTGCAACAGGGATGGGCT